ACTTTACAAGGGGAGTCTGGACGGCTTAACTGTATTTGAGGAGCTTAATTCACAGACAGATGAAATGAGGGTGCATGTTTGTAAAGCAAAAGAACCACCAAATCAGGTGAGAAATACATAATTAGGGCATCAATATCAACTGTTTAAAATGCACAGTTTAAAGGACTGAGAAATTAGCCATCCATGCAGTGTATTGGATTTGCCTGAAGACATTTGTGTTGTCAAAAAACCAAGCTGTAATATCCACATGAAAAGACGGAAATTTCTTGTTTTTTGTTTTTCAAAGAAACTACCTCTAACCCGAGTCCTCGACCCTCCGTGATAGCTTAAAAAATAAAAAGCCCCACTTATTGGATTCACCCTGGCTGGCACAGGGCCAGACATCATGTGTGCTGAAGATGATTAAATCCTTATTTTTTTAAGGAAGTGTCCTGTGATACTATGATCATGCTTATCTTGCTGATGAGGAAACCGGGAGTCGGAGAAGTTAAGTAACTTGCCCGGGTCCCGCAGCCAGAAACCCTAGAGGAGGGATTTGAAGCCCACTGTGCTTCTGTCGCATTCAGCGATCCTCCTTCGGTGCTCACAGCCAGCGCCTCAGGAGATTCCTGTCCAGGCCCCAGGAGCAGCTGCTCCTGGTTCTCAGACCACAGGCGACAATTTGGAGCCCTCCCTCAGGGCTGTATTTCAAGACCCTAAAGTGCCACCGCCTGGAAGTTTGTGGGTGCCCCTCCTCCCCTCTCTGCCTTTCTCTCTCGCCAGGAGGGGCCCTTCAGACCCTGAGGGCTGCGTGTTCGCCCTCGGGACCAGCATCCGCAGCCCTTTTATTTTTTTTTTGGCACCAGGGATCGAACTCAGGACCTTGCACTTTCAAGCCAGGAGGTGGCACCACTGAGCTAAATCCCCATCCTCCTTTTAATTTTTTATTTCCAGACTGTCTTGCTAAATTATCCAGGCTGGGCCCTCACTTAGGATCCCCCTGCCTCAGCCTCCCACAGAGCTGGGATTACAGGTGTGGGCTCCCAAGGGTGTCCCGCCCACAATGCCAGCAGCACCAGACAGAAGCCTGCTTCAGCAACTGCAGCACCCAGTCATCTCCCAGGGGTGGCGTCATTTTGTAGTTTTAAACCCAACGCCCAAAGTGCAGCATGAGTGAAGAACCTGGGCCAGGACACGGAGACACAGGGACACAGGCAGGCAGCCCGGCAGGAAACCCCAGGGCGCACTGGGGTCCTGGAAGCTACTGGAGGTCGGGTCCACTTGGGAACGGACAGCCACAGGGACAAGTGTCGGATCATGGCTCGCCGTGGTGCCCAGGAAGCCAGGGGTCGGGGCGTGGCCAGCTGGCCCTGGTGGCTTGGGGCGGCAGCAGCCAGGGGCTCAGGACTGCCCGGTCCCCGCCTGGCCAGCTCAGGAGAGTGCCAGCCAGGGGCACTGTGCAGCCCGGAGTGAGCAGCAGATTGGAACAAGTGCAAGTGGCTGAGGAGAAACAAGAGCTGTTCGAAAGCAGCATCTCAGACTGGACGCTGAGAATTGGCTAGATGGAAGCAGACAAGGGAGCGACACTGAGAATTACGAGAAGAAAATCACTTCTTAATTATATGTAGTTCAAGACTCTCAGTGTTTTCAGATTTTTTTTTTTTTTTTTTTGCGCAGTCCTGCGGGTCAAACATGCTAGCAAGCACTCTGCCGCTAAGCTACATCTACAGCCCTTTTCATTTTATTTTGAGACAGAGTCTCGCTGCATTGCCCAGGCTGATCTCAAACTTGCAATCTTCCTACCTTAGCCTTCTGAGTATCTGGGATTACAGGTGTGCATCACTGTGCCCGCTCAAATTTCTTTTCTTACTGGGCATTCCTGGTGATGCCGGAACCTGGGTTTTGCCTGCACTCCAGAATCCAGATTTCATGAGACTATCTGGAAGGAAGCGTGGGACAGGGGATGAGTTGTCCCCTCACCCTTCAGGCGTCTCAGCACTGGATGGAATTCAGCAAGGACAGCTCAGCTGCCCCCGTAGAGACAGGAAACAGAGTGGTTTTCAAGCTCAACGTTTCTTTGGGTATTTATTTATTTTTGGTTTTCTGAGACAGGGTCTTGGCACATAGTTCCGGCTGGGCTTGAACTTACTGTGCAGCCCAGGCTGGCTTCACACTCGAGATAATCCTCCCACCTGAGCCTCTGGAGTGTGGGATTACAGATGTGCACCACACACCCGGCTTCTCGGGCCAGTCAGCAAGGTTGGGCCGTCTGTGCGCTGGAACTGTGGGTGTGAGAGCCGTGCTGAGGCTTCTTCAGGCTCTGTCTGCCACTGGCTGATGGACTCAGACCTCGGCTCTATGTCCATGATTCCCCCAAGAAGAGGAGGAGACAGAGAGGCGCCTGTTCCTTTGGCGCTTTGTTTGTTATTGCTGCAACAATCAGGGCTTTCCCAAAACAGGCAAAGCACATATTCATGCCGCCCGCGTCAGCGTCAGGCTCCTCCGTGATGATTGTGAGTCTGGGCTGTGAGCCTGGACTGACCCGAGTACTCTTGGTCCAGATTCCCAAATCCGCCGTAAGTCCTCAGTGTTACAGAGAAGAGCGATAGAGCTCACTGAAATGTGCCTTTCTCCAGAAATCGAGACCTTGGTGTGCTCTTGCTGGAGCTGCCTGTGTCCAGTGACATCCCTTGGGGCTGGCCCCAGCCAGTGACGAGAGGATGACTGCCAGCCCTGGGCGGCCCTTTCATCCACAGAAGCTCTCCGAGGCTGCAAAGCTCAGCGTCATGAAATTAGAAGTGGGAGTTGAACCTGGAGCCCTGTGGGGTGTTTCCGGCAGTCACATAGCTCTGCATCCTGTCTCCCGGCCTCCCGCCCCCTTGGAGCAGCTGTGATTGAAGCCACAGCCTTGTAGATCGGCTGTCCTGCCTTGGGTGGTGGTGGACAGGCTCCCGAGCTGCACGTAGAGAGGAAGGAGCCTCAGCCAGTGCTCTCAGCGTGGGGAGGCGCTTGCCAGGGGCTGCAGTGCAGGGTCGGAGGCGCTGGGGTGAGGCCCCAGCCCCAAGTGCTGAAGCAGAAGAGCTGCAGAGGGGAGGGAAGGCTCCCAGCATGGCAGGGAGTGGAGCAGCCCGTGCAGGCACCTGATAGGTGATGAAATGCAGCCATCTTCCCTGGGGTGCTTGTGCCCCACTGCAGATGCGCAGCAAAGACACCAGACCTCCAGGAAAGCAAGTGCAGGCTGAGGGGTGACTCGGGGCTCAGCCCTCAAGAGGTTCTGGGGACCAGTGGAGGCTGGAGTGGTGAGAGCCAGCGAGTGTCCGGGCGGAGCCAGCACCACATCCGCTCCCACCTCCCGTTGCCTCTCCAAACGCCGCACCAGCAGTGTCGTCCGGGGCCCCCTTTCTCCCGGTCTGCAGCCTCCCTTACACCCCTAAGGCCAACAGTGCCTCCCCCGAGCCCCAGTCCTCTCAGGGCCAGAACGAGCTGGGCCGCCACAGGGTGTGGCCGTGCCCTGTGCCCCGCACACATCCGGGGCTGTGTCACACGTGAAATGACTCGAAGTGTTAGCAGAGCGCACCGATTGCTCCCAAATGGGATTTTAGAGGTTAGATGTTTAAATGTATTTGTGCAAGTATAAATGTGCACATGTATCTATAAATTGATCTGCACTGCTGTCAAAGAGGAATTCAGAATTATGGTTAAATGGATTCTTTGAAAACAGGAACAAATGATAAAAAGTCAAAATTTCAAAATTGTTTTCCAACTTCAAAGTGTTTTATGCTCAACAAAGAGAGTTGGCACAACATGTCCATGGATCCCAGGGGGCTGCTGGCAGGTGTGTTGGGTGTACAATGAACAAAAGCACAATGCGTGATCGATGCTGCCATCCCAGGGGAATGCAGGGTTTGATCAGGAGGGGAAGAGAGTGTGATACATAGTTGCCAATGGCTCATATACCAGTTCAGTTTCTCTCCTTAAATAGAAATGCATATTTCTCAGAATTGGGAGTGGAAGATCTCTATGTTCTCCCCTGCATTTTCCTTGTTGTATGTAACTGTTCTAGTGCAATGTCAAAAGCACTATGAATTCAGCAGGCCTCTCACCCTCATTAAAGAAAGGGCAGAAAGGGGTTATTTGAGGAGGGGAGGGAGGTAGGAGGTCATTTTGCCTGAGGAAAGGCACGCTGGGCTGCCGTGCTGCTCTAGTGACAAAGCCGGTCCTTCAGCCCAGCCCCGCGTGCAGCAGGGCCAGCTACACACCAAGCCCCACTGTGGGTCTGGAAGGTAATGCTGCCCCCCTAAGGGTTTGCGGTTCCCTGGCTCCTCTGTCTGTTCCGTCCCATGGCTGTCATGCCCCCACATCATCCTGGAGAAGGTTCCCACCCTAACTGCTGACCAACACACCCCACCGATCACAAAGAGAAATTCCTGCAACTGGGTCTGCGGCGTGATTGAGAAGTACAGGTGCTTAAATTTTTAAAAATTACAGTAGAAGACACATTGCCACTCACCCTTCCCAAAATCCTCCCCCTCACTTTGAGCACACTCATCCCACCACTCTTGCCACTTTCTGCAGCAGCTCTGGAGTCCTGTTTCCTGAGTGTCTTTGGCTGTGCTGTCCTGGCTGCCTCGACATCCGGAATCGATTCAAAACATGTACCTTTCATGATCATGTTGACCTTGCAGACAGCGCAGAAGTCACTGGTGCCAGATCTAGTGACTAAGGAGCGTGAGGACGCAGCGTCATGTTTTACAAGTCTGCCTTTCCACCCGATGGCACTCGGAAGCAGCAGTCACCTTACAAAGACACCCATGAAAGAGGACTTCCAGAGCCACCTCAGAAAGGGGCAAGAATGATGGGATACGTGTATTTGACATGAAGGGGAGAGGATTTTGAGGGGTTTAAAAGTTACTGTGATAACTTTTTACAATTTAAACACTCCATATGTCACCCCTTGTATGTACATGGTGGGACCGAGAACTGCCGGATGCTGACCTGGTTTCTCTCTCCATCTCATGCAGGGGCGGATCTGCAGAAAAGCTGGCAAATCAAAAAAGTCCTTCAGTCGCAAGGAAGCGGAAGCTACCTTTAAGAGTCTGGTGAAGACTCACGAAAAATACGGCTGGGTCACCCCGCCCGTCTCGGATGGCTGAAGTCGGCCTCGCCTGGTTCTCTACACACTTCCACCCCAACATCGCCCCACCGCTGCGCATCCTCCGTCCTTTTCTACTCCAGCCGGAACTGCATCGTGAACACGAAGGAGACATTTCAGTTATTTACGAACAGACCAGTTTACAGAGAGAGGGAGCCGACGCTGCCCGGGACCCCGTTTCCATGATCGGTGAATGAGTGCATCTCTGAGTCACTTTAGAACAGATGTGGCCATGTTGACGTCACCCAGCCCGCCCACCCTGTCACTTTGCCCTTAGCTTCTTTCTGTGCCAGCAGCTCCATGGAGCCCGAAGGAAGCCCATTGCCCTTGCTGGCTCTGTTTCCGTGTAAATGGCTCTGTTTCCGTTCATTCTCCCCAGGAGCCCCGGGCAGTGCCAGCCCCTGGTTGCTGTGCCCGGCTCAGCATAGCTTGAAGACACATCCCCATTCTGGCCTGAGGTCTGCTGTGACGACATTTAGACTCATTCGTGCTATGGACTTTGGCTCATGAAAACAACTTCACCTTAGCAGGTCCTAGGGATGGAAGACTACAGCTGCCCACTGGCTTCCGACACGTCCTCCTTGCTGGCTTCGGTGTGTGCTGTTCACAGGTAAACCAGTGCCATTCGGTGGGAGATGGGAGAGGGGGTCCGGGGGCGGATGCCCAGTGCACCCGGGCTCTCGGACACCAGGCAACGCCCCTCCCACAGCGCATTTGTCTTCCTGTCTTCTCTCAACCACCAAAAGCTAAAGACAGTCTCGAGTTTGCTTCGGTCGTCTGACTCACTTTCCTCTGTGCTCGTGACGGGGAGCTCAGAACTGCCAAAGGACACCGAGTGATATGATCATATGGCGATGTGCATGGCCGGGTCTGTTTCTTCACCCAGTAGTCACTTGTGTGCCCCGGGGCTGAGATGCAAGCACCGGGCTGTGGTGTAAACCTCCTGTTATTTAATCTCCCCGCGGTTTCATTTCTTCTCTTCTGTTAGATTACTTAGAACTTTCTAAGAAACTCCATGAAATGAGGAAGTCCTGTTTATAATAAGCGGAAAGAGGTACAGTGTTCATTCCAAGCAGAAAAACTTCTTGGACACATTTTAAATAAAATCATGCATACCTGATACACTGCCTCAGGAATCCGATCATTGTGGGCTCTCCTTCCACTTGAGATACTTGTCAGCCCTATAACGTTGTAACAGTTTGAATACTGCAGAAACACCACACCACCCTCCAGGAGCAGCAGTCCTGAGCCAGGAAATGACTCCTAGGCACCCATAGTCTTCGCCAAAATCTAGTTGATTAAAATCTCCTGCACAGCAGCTGGGAAGATGAGTAGAATCTGAGAGTGTTCAGAGAGGCCTGGGGCAACTCAGACGGGGCCTGCTGTGTCGCTTCTTGCCTCATTGCTGCAGTTCTTCAGGCAGTGTTGGCTGCTGGGCCTGTCCCTTGTCCGAGAGGTTTTAGGGATCTGAAGGATCCTTAAAGGACAGGGGTCGCTCCCCCAGCGTGCCTGGCCATCATCCAGGTCTCCCCATGATGATTACTCTTATTTCTTTCTACTTCCTCATTTGCCCCAGTTACTCCAATGCCGTGGGCTGCCAGGCTGCAGTGAGCATACATGTTGGATACCTGACCTCTTGCTCAAGTCCCTGTGGGCAGTTGTAGTCTGGAACCCGATGCCAGTGAGCGAAGCATTTTCCATCCCCAGTGTAATTCTCCGTCCTGGAATCCGGGGCTTGGGAAGGTGTCTGGGCCCCAGGCTGGTGGCTGTGATGGAATTACACTGGGCGGTGAGGACTCCCAGCCCCTGCCTGGGGAACACGCTTGAGCTCACTGAGTTCCAGGGCTCCCTCTCCTAGTGTACACTCAGAAGTAGCTTCTTTAGTAGGAGAAAAATACATGTGCAAATCGAGGCCCCTTCCTTTCACTTAGGAGCTGACTGGGAACCTTGCACAGTGGTTTCAGGTGGGCTGTGAGGGAGGTGCAGCCAGGAGACAGATGTGCCATCGCCAAGGGGCTGGGCCTCTGCCGTCGCCCATGCCAGGACAGACTTGCCTATCTCTGCTTTCTAGTGCACCTGGAATTTGATTTATTTAGCATGGCATCTTCCACTAGGGTTGTTAGTTATGTAAGAAATCCACGCTGTAGGGAAAGAAATGCCAGTTTCATTGAAACTGGTAAGAATTTCACATTTTCAAAGCAGTGGGAAGGAATTTCAAATGATAGCATTGCTGTGAGTCCATTAGAAGCAGATCTTGGTGTCCACAGCTCAGCCCCAAGCCCACGGAGGAGATGCCTGAGGGTGGGGACCAGCTGTGGCCCGGGTCATCTCCCACCGAGTGAGTCCCCCTCCCGGGAGGCAGCGAGGGGCCAGATCCGTGCCTCATCACCCCCAATTCTCGGCTGGAACTCGAGGCAAGCCCAGGCCACAGAGCCAAAGGGACAGCTCGAGGCCACCGTGGGACAACCTCTCTCATTCAGAGACTCCTAGAAGAGCGAGAGGGACGCAGTGGGAGGTCCTGGGTGAGCAGCAGGACCAGCCCCCGAATCTCACACGCGACGACTCATAATCCCTAAAACCCACACACACATCCCACGTGTGGACCCCAATTTTCCAGTCCCCATGTTCATTCCATCAAAATTTAACCTTATTTTTTGAGAGAAAAAAAATCTATGGGCAGTGACATTGACTCACCACAGAAATGCAAACGCACATATGTCTCCCTGCCCCTGGTATGTTGCTTCGCTGCCCAAGCCTCAGGGCCCTCAGCTTGCAGACTTTAAACCAGACTGGCATGAGATTAACCCAGATGACAGGGAAAGCACTTTCAAGACCCACGATGGCCATAGGAACTCGTGTTGTTTTCATGGAGTCTGGTAACGGCCTTTAGTTAGAACACACTAGGATACCTGCCGGATGAACATGTGGCAGTGACCGTGCAGTTATGTTGCAATTACATACTTATTTTCAGCCCTGGTCCCAGAGGGGTTGTCAGCTCCCTTCCCCTCGATGACAGGGAGAGCAGGAGTCAGGATGCACCTCAGCCTGGGCTAGGAACTCCTGACACAAGAGAGCCGAAGGCAGGACAGGGCCCAGGGGCATTCGGAGACGACAGACATGTGCAGGTCCCGGCCTCCCCTCCTGAGCAGGAAGATGGTGTGGAGGAGGTCGGGTTGAGCCAGGCGAGGCCTCAGGAGGGTGTGGTCTATGTCCTCATCAGGAGGGGGCGCTATGGGCTCTGCCCGTCTCCACCACAGGACCCGGTTTACAGAGCCCAGCCCACCTTGACAGCCTGCCTGGCCCAGAGCCGCTGCTGTGTAGACACTGTGTTTTAGCTTTCTCCTAGCAGCGTGCAGAAGGGAAATGGACTCTGCAGAACTGTAACGGAGTGGAACCAGACCTTGCATGTGGGAGGCCCCTGTAGCCAGACTGTGCCCCCTCGACAGTGAAGGGACCTCGCCCAGGGAGGCCGAGCGCCGTCTTGCTGTCTCTGTCCCTTCCTTATGCTGCTCCTGAGACTGTCACAGGTCACCTGGCCACACCCAAGCTCCCGCTCCCTTCCCATCTTGGGGTTGGTGGGACCAGGCCCCCACCGTGCCTGACACACCCCAGGTGACCCAGTCCAGGCCAAAGCAAGCGGAGCAAAGGACAGAGCTCCCACTGCAGCAGCTTCGGGAGCTGCTAGTGATGGGCTTGGAGCTCAGCCTCTGTGATCACAGGCGATACTTTTTAGTTTTGTCTCCAAAAATATTAAAACAAAACACAGCTGTGCCCCTGAGTCTATGTCCTGCCTCGTTGTTCTAACGTCTCAGCCTTCAGGTCACAGTGTTGCATGTCGTTCAGCCGCAGGGCCACCTGACCCACAGAACAGTCAGCGTTCACTTGCTTCCGGGAGAGACACAGGAGCCCAGTGTGCTAGCCACACAGACTGAATCAAAGCAGAGTGTCCGAAGAGAGTGTAGATCAAGGAGAGGCGAGATTTCATTTTGAGGTTGTAGCAGGGCCAGGCAAATAGCAGAGCCGATCTAGAGGGTCAAGCTCAAGGTCGTCCATCCCCCTGGGTCGGCGAGACGCTGTGCAGGGAGCAGCTGAGCCTGCGCCTGTGCCCTCAGCACCACCCTGTTGCTGTGCCGAGTAAAAGCTGCCCTGCGCTCTAGGCACGAGGTCATGTTGTGTCGCTAGATCTTGGGCCGTCACTGCTAGCGACATGGATCGAGCCGAAAAAGAAACTGCTGTAACCCGATGGGCTTCACGCTCCCTCCTGCCTTGTCTGCCAGTAATTTTACCCCATGACCTATTGGCAGACTGCTGATTAACAATCTCCAGGTTTCTGTAAACTTCAGGATGCTCACTGCAGTTCACATTGAGGCGCTGGTGTGTCCTCTTTCCAAAGTTGTCCTATAAATGTAATCCTCAACAGGAGAGAAAACGAATGCATGTGCCATAAAAGAAATAGGAAGGAAATGTTTGCCACTGAGCGATGGCGAATGCATGGGTCGAAGTATCCGCAGGCACTGCCATTGCTAATGGGAAAATAGCGATTGGGATGGCAAGGCTTTGAAACCATGAGTGACCGCACGCGGAATGTGTGTGTGTTCCCCGTCTCTGTCTCTGCGCTGTCCCGTCCCTCTGGTCTCGCTGTGTGCTGTCCTCTGTGGTCCCTTGTGGGTGGCTTTCTGTCACGTGGTGCCCTCTGATCTTTTGCCCTTTGATTCACTTGTGTTTTGCCAAATGGAAACTTTGAAGTATGTCATGGAATGCTCTATAAAAATCAATGAAATGTAACTGAACCACATCTAATTATGCATCCATGTAATGTAAAAGATTCCTCCTTCAGCTGCCACTTGCATTATAAAGATTTATAAACATGTTTGCCAAAGAGTCTCGGTAGTTTCTCAATGTAATTGAAATGCTGTGCTTAGCACCAAGCCAAAAAGCCTGCTGAACTGCAGACACTTCTATGAAAAACTTAAGAGTAGCAATTCTAGCAAGTGCCAATTTTCAAACATCTTAAGCCTGACTTTTTTAAAAGGCACTCAGGTTCATTCTTCAAACTGACGTGTACGTTGAGTTCAGCTTTTTTTTGTATGTATTCTTTAATTTATTTATTTTATATCTATTTTATATGCATGTGGTACTGGGGGTTGAACCCAGGGCCCTCACACTGAACTGCCTCTCTGGCCTGTTTTTGAGGCAGGGTTTCACTAAGTTGCCCAACCTGAGCTCAAATCTACAATCCTCCTGCCTCAGCCTCCCGCAGTGCTGGGATTACAGGCCTGCACCACCACGCCTGGCTCAGCTTTTATTTCAAAGTGTTTATCTGAGGAATTTCTCTGCCCTTATCAGTATTCCAGACAATTTTCTGATCAGGAGCACATTTTTTTCTTTTAAAATCTGCAACTGTTATTTCAGCCTTGTGTTAACAGCCAACTGTTAAGCAGCCTTGTGCTCCCTCCACTGCCTGCCACGGGTGGGTGTGGAACTGAGCCTCCAGTTTTCTTCAAAACTGTGAAGGGCGCATGTGCTGTTAGGGCCACAGGGACCCAGCAGGCCACACTTGGGAACCAGACCCTGGGCCGGGTCTGGACCTGGGGCTCAGGAAGTGAGGCTGTTAAAGGGGAAGGGCGGGACTCCCTGCAGTCGGGGCTTGGCTGGCTGTGAGGGCCCCATTTCCGGCTGCTCCTCTCCTCCCAGGTAAACCTGCAGCCTGTCCTTGGGTGAAGGCGTGGAGGACGCACTGTCAATTAGGTGCTGCCTTAACTTGTGGGCGTTGGAGGCGGAGTGCAGCCCGCCTCGCTTTCCCGCACAGCGCTGGCCACCCAGGCGCGCTCTGCGCCCCAACCCCGCCGACTGCCAGGCCGGGTGTGCCCTGAAAGAGCCCCGTGCCCACGGCAGAGCGCCGGCCGCTTGTCACTGGAGCCACGTCATTTTACTCACGCTGAGGGAAACGACAGATACGAAGGCAGACAAACCGTCTGCCCAGGTGGAGTTCACATAGCTTTTGCTCTGCTGCTCAGCCTTTGTTCAAAGACTGAATTCTCTGTGAGTTTTCGTCTCGCAGTGCATGCTGGTTACGCTCACGCCAGGGAGCTGCCCGCCGCGGACCTGACCCTGCTCGCT